GGGAAAGGGGAGGGGGGTGCCCTGGAAAGGTGGGGGTGCCCGGGAAAGGGGGGGTGCCCAGGGGGTGGGGGCTTTAAGTGCTGCTGTTAAAAAAAGGATGTTAAAAAAAAACATATTCAAAAGCATTGTGTTATTTCAGGTATTTATATGTCACCATCATGTTACGCAGCATTTTACATATATATTGTACATTCCCATCAGTCCCCGCCCCCGAGGAGCGTACAATCTAAGGTCCCTAACTTACATTCATACATACACATACTAGGGACAATTTAGACAGGAGCCAATTAACCTACCAGTATGTCTTTGGAGTGTGGGAGGAATCCTGAGTACCCAGAGGAAACCCACGCAGGCACAGGGAGAACATGCAAACTACAGGCAGGTGGTGCCGTGGATGGGATTCAAACCAACAACCTGAGTACTGCCAGGCCAGGAGCGGACTAGCAACTCATGGGGCCTCAGGGCAATAGGGGATCATGGGGCCCCTGTGTCCTTGCCCACACTCAAACCACACCCAAAAAAAGCCTATGAAAGGTACAAGGGGCATCTCATGGGGCCCCCTACTGACTCTGGGCCCTTGGGTAGTGCTCAAGGTCCCATATGGTCAGTCCGCCCCTGTGCCAGGTGGATGCGCTACTCATTTAGCCGCTGTGCTGCCCATATGACATCGACAACCATATCACCAACTTTCTGTGCGTTTTGGATGCAGAAAAAAAAAACAACTGAACCGCATGGAGTGTGAACCGGCCCTTAGGAAGGACTCTATAAAGAAGAATATATCTGTACTGCCAGGCGGAAGTGCTAACCATTTAGCCACTGTGCTGCCCTATTCCTTATGAGAAAGACCTCAGAGGACCCGACACGGCCAAGGGAAAGGAGGCTGCGGTGCAATTGTTTAGCAATGATTGTGAATAGAAAAGGCTCTGCGCTATCTCCACTCACCGGCTCTTTATTAGGACCGCCCTGTTCAATGGCTCGGTAACACAAACTGCTAATCAGCCAATCACAGCAACTCAATGCATTTAGGCATCTAGACGTGGTGAAGACGACTTGCTGAAGTTCAAACCGAGCATCAGAATGGGGAAGAAAGGAGATTTAAGTGACTGAACGTGGCATGGTTGTTGGTGCCAGACGGGCTGCTCTGAGTATTTCTAAAAACTGCAGATCTCCTGGGATTTTCCGGCACAACCATCTCTAGGGATTACTGAGAATGGTCTGAAAAAGAGAAAATATCCAGTGAGTGGCAGTTGTGTGGAGGAAAATTCCTTGTTGAGGTCAGAGGAGAATGGGCAGACTGGTTGGAGATGATAGAAAGGCAACAGGAACTCCAATAACCCCTCGTTACACCCAAGGTATGCAGAATACCATCTCTGATCACACAACACGTCCAACCTTGAAGCAGATGGGCTACAGCAGCAGAAGACCACACTGGGTGCCACTCCTGTCAGCTGAGACCACACAGAGTGCCACTCCTGTCAGCCAAGACCACACCGGTTGTCACTCCTGTCAGCTAAGAACAGGAAACGGAGGCTACAATTCACACAGGCTCACCAAAATTGGACAATAGAAGATTGGAAAAACGTTGCCTGGTCCGATGAGTCTGGATTTCAGCTGCAACATTCAGAGGGTAGGGTCAGAATTTGACGTAAAAAACATGAAAGCATGGATCCATCCTGCCTCGTATCAAAGGTTCAGGCTGGTGGTGGTGGTGGTGGTGTCATGGTGTGGGGGATCCATCCTGCCTCGTATCAAAGGTTCAGGCTGGTGGTGGTGAGGTCATGGTGTGGTGGATCCATCCTGCCTTGTATCAATGGATCAGGCTGGTGGTGGTGAGGTCATGGTGTGGTGGATCCATCCTGCCTTGTATCAATGGTTCAGGCTGGTGGTGGTGGTGTCATGGTGTGGGGGATCCATCCTGCCTTGTATCAATGGATCAGGCTGGTGGTGGTGGTGTCATGGTGTGGTGGATCCATCCTGCCTTGTATCAATGGATCAGGCTGGTGGTGGTGGGTCATGGTGTGGGTGGATCCATCCTGCCTCGTATCAATGGTTCAGGCTGGTGGTGGTGGTGTCATGGTGTGGGGGATCCATCCTGCCTTGTATCAATGGTTCAGGCTGGTGGTGGTGGTGTCATGGTGTGGGGGATTTATCCTGCCATGTATCAATGGTTCAGGTTGGTAGTGGTTTCATGGTGTGGTGGATCCATGCTGCCTCGTATCACCGGTTCAGGCTGGTGGTGGTGGTGTCATGGTGTGGGGGAAATTTTCTAGGTATACTTTGGGCCCCTTAGTACCAATTGAGCATCATATAAACGCTACGGCCTACCTGAGTATTGTTGCTGACCATGTTCACCCCTTCATGACTCCAGTGTCCCCATCTTCTGATGGCTCCTTCCAACTGGTTTCTTGACCATGACAATGAGGTCACTGGACTCCAATGGCCTCCACAGTCACCAGATCTCCATCCAATAGAGCACCTTTGGGATGTGGTGGAACGGGAGATTCCCATCATGGATGTGCAGCCGACAAATCTGCAGCAACTGCGTGATGCCATCATATCAATATGGAGCCAAATATCTGAGGAATGTTTCCAAGACCTTGTTGGATCTACGCCACGAAGAATGAAGGCAAAAGGGGGCCTAGCGAGGTGGACCTGATAAAGTGGCCGGGGAGTGTATAAATAAAGTCCAATAAATGAAATAACTAAATCTTCAATTTTTAGTAAGATTTAAGAATTCTGCTACAAATTAGTGGCTCGGTGGAATAGAATCCCCAAAACTTTATATAAAACCTCATCAAAATGCTCAAACCTTTGCTGGAAATGTCTGTAGCACCCTCCTAGGTAGTTGCTAGCAATCAAACCGAATCAAATCGAATTTGAATCAGATTCAAAACAGAAATTAAAAAAAAAAAATATGAAGATGAAATCGAATTTGAAAAAAAATTTGAAATGCAAACCTATAGCTGACTATGGCTGATTTTCTTCAAAGACTATACACTGTATATATGAATATAATCGTCTTCTGAAATTCAAATTTCAAAAAACAGAAAAGAAAAGAAAAGAATAAAATAGAAAAAAACAGAATAGAATAAAAAACAGAATAAAATAGAAAAAATTGAAAAGATTACAATAAATTAGATTAGAAAAGAATAAAACAGAATATAGCCATCTACCAAAATTTGAATTTTGAAAAGAATACAATAGAATTAAACAGAATAAAATATAAAATAATGGAATAGAAGATTAAAGAATAGATACAAAAATAGAATAGAAAAAAAAAAATAGAATATAGTTGTCTTCCAAACTACGAATTCCGAAAAGAACAGAATAGAGCAAAAACAGAAAAAAAATAAAATGGCAAAGACAAAAAAATGAAAATAAAGTAAAAGAATAGAAAAAATAGAATATAATACAATAGAAAGAATATAGCCCTCTTCGAACCTAGAGTTTCAAAAAGAATAGAAAAGAATAAAATAGAACAGAATAGAACAGAACAGAAAAGAATAGAATATAAAAGAAAGAAATAGATTAGAATTGAATAGAATGAATATAGCCATCTTCCGCAATTTTAATTTAGAAAAGAATAGAATAAAATAGAAAGGAATGGAATAGAATAGCATTGAATAGAATAGAATAGAAAGAATATACCTGTCTTCTGAAATTTGAATTTCAAATAGAATAGAGCCAGCTATTCTTTACACTGAATTCGGATCAGGTGATATTTTCTATTCGAATTCGATTTGAATTCTTTGAAACAAATTTTAATACAGTCGAAGACCAATAAATGAAACAAAATGAATTCAGAATGCAAGAAAACCAAATGAGTAACTTAACGAATCGACACGAAAGGAAACGAATGTCTAGTTCAGGTTGTGATATAGAAAGGAGCCTGAAGAGCGACTGAGACTGTCTGCCTGGCTGCTAATACGCCATCTTGGGACGGCTCCGCGGGCCCTGTAGGGGGTGAGCACTGCATGAAGGCTTTCTATTACTTATTTTTTTGGGGATTGACCAAAGCAGGGGCGGACTGACCATTTGGAAACTCGGGCATTGCCTGAGGGCCTGGGGTCAGTAGGGGGCCCCATGAGATGCCCCTGGCACCTTTTTCATAGGCTTTTTTGAGTTTGGGCAAGGACACAGGGGCCCCATGATCCCCTATTGCCCGGGGGCCCCATGAGTTGTCAGTCCACCCCTGGCCCAAAAGTTTGGAGACTTTTGGGACAAACTCCAAGATGTGACCTTCAGACTGGTTGGGAGGTGATCCTGCAACGTTCCACCTCTACTGGAAGCCAATATCTTTCAAATGGTATAAAGAATTGTCGATGATCCATCTTCTCAATGCTATAAAAGCCAACTGGAAGCAAACCTCAGCCCCACCAATCGGTCTGTAGCGCTACCCCCATAGGGGCTGCTGGTAATAGCTGGTTCTCTTCCTAAAAATTATGGAGGCTGCCTGTCCCCAAAAGCACCCAGTCCACACACATCGGATCCAATAACTCAATCTTGTAGATATTGTGATATTGAAATGTATTGCTTGAAGAACTGGAGAGGAGAGAAGAGGAGAGGAGAGGAGAGGGAGAGGAGAGGAGAGAAGAGGAGAGGAGAGAAGAGGAGAGGAGAGGAGAGGAGAGGAGAGGAGAGGAGAGGAGAGGGGAGGAGAGAGAGAGGAGAGGAGAGAGGAGAGGAGAGGAGAGAGAGGAGAGGAAGAAGAGAGGAGAGGAGAGGAGAGGAGAGGAGAGAGAGAGGAGAGGAGAGGAGAGAAGAGAGAGAGAGGAGAGAGGAGAGGAGAGAGAGGAGAGGAGAGAGAGAGAGGAGAGAGAGAAAGAGAGAGATGAGGAGGAGGAGAGAAGAGGAGAGGAGAGAAGGAGAGAAGAGGAGAGAGAGAGAAGAGGAGAGGGGTTAGGAGGGTTGGGGATGGAATACTCCAAAATGCTGCACAGTAACAGGAGGACACTTTTCACTAGGCTTCCATACATACTCTGTATTGCCAAAAGTAATCGCCCGCCCCCCAATCATGTGATTCAGGTGTTCCAATCCCCTCCATATCATGTGATTCAGGTGTTCCAATCCCCTCCCAATCATGTGATTCAGGTGTTCCAATCCCCTCCCAATCATGTGATTCAGGTGTTCCAATCCCCTCCATATCATGTGATTCAGGTGTTCCAATCCCCTCCCAATCATGTGATTCAGGTGTTCCAATCCCCTCCATATCATGTGATTCAGGTGTTCCAATCCCTCCATATCATGTGATTCAGGTGTTCCAATCCCCTCCATATCATGTGATTCAGGTGTTCCAATCCCCTCCATATCATGTGATTCAGGTGTTCCAATCCCCTCCATAATCATGTGATTCAGGTTTGTTCCAATCCCCTCCAAATCATGTGATTCAGGTGTTCCAATCCCCTCCAAATCATGTGATTCAGGTGTTCCAATCCCCTTCATATCATGTGATTCAGGTGTTCCAATCCCCTCCATATCATGTGATTCAGGTGTTCCAATCCCCTACAAATCATGTGATTCAGGTGTTCCAATCCCCTCAAATCATATGTGATTCAGGTGTTCCAATCCCCTACAATATCATGTGATTCAGGTGTTCCAATCCCCTCCAAATCATGTGATTTCAGGGTTCCAATCCCCTCCATATCATAGTGATTCAGGTGTTCCAATCCCCTCCAAATCATGTGATTCAGGTGTTCCAATCCCCTCCAAATCATGTGATTCAGGGGTTCCAATCCCCTCAAAATCATGTGATTCAGGTGTTCCAATCCCCTCCAAATCATGTGATTCAGGTGTTCCAATCCCTTCATATCATGTGATTCAGGTGTTCCAATCCCCTGCAAATCATGTGATTCAGGTGTTCCAATCCCCTACAAATCATATGATTCAGGTGTTCCAATCCCCTCCAAATCATGTGATTCAGGGGTTCCAATCCCTCCATATCATGTGATTCAGGTGTTCAATCCCCTGCAAATCATGTGATTCAGGTGTTCCAATCCCCTCCAAATCATGTGATTCAGGTGTTCCAATCCCCTCCATATCATGTGATTCAGGTGTTCCAATCCCCTCAAATCATGTGATTCAGGGTGTTCCAATCCCCTCCATATCATGTGATTCAGGTGTTCCATCCCCTGCAATCATGTGATTCAGGTGTTTTCCCAATCCCCTACAAATCATATGTGATTCAGGTGTTCAATCCCCTCCAAAATCATGTGATTCAGGTGTTCCAATCCCCTCCAAATCATGTGATTCAGGTGTTCCAATCCCCTCCCAATCATGTGATTCAGGTGTTCCAATCCCCTCCATATCATGTGATTCAGGTGTTTCCAATCCCCTGCAAATCATGTGATTCAGGTGTTCCAATCCCAGCAAATCATGTGATTTCAGGTGTTCCAATCCCCTCCAAATCATGTGATTCAGGTTTGTTCCAATCCCCTCCATATCATGTGATTCAGGTGTTCCAATCCCTCCATATGTGATGTGTGTTCCAATCCCGTTTTTTTTTTTGCTCCATTCATGGTGTTTCAGGTGTTCCAATCCCCTCATATCATGTGATTCAGGTGTTCCAATCCCCTCCAAATCATGTGATTTCAGGTGTTTCAATCCCCTCCATATAAGTGATTTCAGGTGTTCCAATCCCTCTCCAATCATGTGATTCAGGTGTTCCAATCCCCTCCATATCATGTGATTCAGATGTTCCAAATCCCCTCCAAATCATGTGATTCAGGTGTTCCAATCCCTCCATATCATGTGATTCAGATGTTCCAATCCCCTCCATATCATGTGATTCAGGTGTTCCAATCCCCTCCATATCATGTGATTCAGGTGTTCCAATCCCCTCCATGGACCCAGGTGTATACAATCATCCCCTAGGCATGCAGACTGCTTCTACACACATTGGTGAAAGAATGGGTCGCCTCAGGAGCTTACAGTGACTCCAAGCGTGGTCCCGTGATAGGTGGTTCACCTGGGCAATAAGTCCATCCGTGACATTTCCTGGCTACTAAATATTCCACGCTCAACTGTTAGTGGATTATAACAAAGGGGGGAGCCACTGGGAACAACAGCCACTCAGCCACACCAAGGGTTTAGGCCAGGACCACGTCACACTGACAGGGCGGGGTCCAGCGCATGCTGAAGCACACAGTGCGCAGAAATCACCAACTGTCTGCAGAGTCAATAGCTAAAGACCTCCAAACTTGGTGTGGCCTTCAGATGAGCCCAACACAGTGCGTAGAGAGCTTCATGGAATGGGTTTCCATGGCCGAGCAGCTGCATCCAAGCCTTCCATAACCAAGTGCAATGCAAATGGTGGATGCCGTGGTGTAAAAGCACGCCGCCACTGAACTCTAGCAATGGAGACGTGTTTCTCTGGAGTGACCAATCACGCTTCTCTGTCTGGCAATCCGATGGATGTGTCTGGGTTTGGCGGGTGGCCAGGAGAACGGTACTTGTCCTGACTGCATTGTGCCAAGTGTAAAGTTTGGTGGAGGGAGGATTATGGTGTGTTGGGGTGTTCCTCAGGGGTTGGGCTTGGCCCCCTAGTTTCCAGTGAAAGGGAGCTCTTAAGGCCACATTTGGGACAATTTCATGCCCCCAACTTTGTGGGAGGAGTTTGGGGATGGCCCCTTCCCTGTCCCAACATGACTGCCCACCAGTGCACAAAGCAAGGTCCATAAAAGACATGGAGGAGCCAGTTTGGGTGGGAGGAACTTGACTGTCCTGCACAGAGTCCTGACCTCAACCCCATAGAACACCTTTGGGATGAATTAGAGCGGAGACTGCGAGCCAGGCCTCCTCCCCCGACATCAGTGCCCCCCCACGACATCAGTGCCTGACCTGACAAAATGTGCTTCTGGAAGAATGGTCCAACCTTCCCATAAGACACCCTCCTAAACCTTGTGGGTCGGCCTTCCCAGAAGAGTTGAAGCTGTTATAGCTGCAAAGGGCGAGGCCAACTCAATATTGAACCCTACAGACTAAGACTGGGGGGCCATTAAAGGTCATGTGTGTGGAAAGGCGGGGCCAAATATTGAACCCAATATTGAAAGGGCCCAACTCAATATTGAACCCTACGACTAAGACTGGGGGGCCATGAAAGGTCATGTGTGTGGAAGGGCGGGGCCAACTCAATATTGAACCTCTACGGGACTAAGACTGGGGGGGCATTTGAAAGGTCATGTGTGTGTGGAAAGGGCGGGGCCAACTCAATATTGAACCTAAAGGACTAAGACTGGGAGGCCATTAAAGGTCATGTGTGTGGCGGCAGGGCGGGTCCAACTCAATATTGAACCTACGGACTAAGACTGGGGGGGCCATTAATAGGTCATGTGTGGGAAGGGCGGGGGCCAACTCAATATTGAACCCTACGACTAAGACTGGGGGGCCATTAAAGGTCATGTGTGTGGAAAGGGCGGGGCCAACTCAATATTGAACCCTACGGACTAAGACTGGGGGGCCATTAAAGGTCATGTGCGTGGAAAGGGCGGGGCCAACTCAATATTGAACCCTACGGACTAAGACTGGGGGGCCATTAAAGGTCATGTGCGTGGAAAGGGCGGGGGCCAACTCAATATTGTAACCTTACGGACTAAGACTGGGGGGCCATTAAAGGTCATGTGCGTGGAAAGGGCGGGGCCAACCCATATTGAAACCCTACGGACTAAGACTGGGGGAGGCCATGAAAGGTCATGTGGTGGAAAGGGCTGGGGCCAACTCAATATTGAACCCTACGGACTAAGACTGGGGGGCCATTAAAGGTCATGTGCGTGGAAAGGGCGGGGCCAACTCAATATTGAACCCTACGGACTAAGACTGGGGGGCCATTAAAGGTCATTGTGCGTGGAAAGGGCGGGGCCAACTCAATATTGAACCAAACGGAATAAGACTGGGGGGCCATTAAAGGTCATGTGCGTGGAAAGGGCGGGGCCAACTCAATATTGAACCTTGAACCCTACGGACTAAGACTGGGGGGCCATTAAAGGTCATGTGTGTGGAAAGGGCGGGGCCAACTCAATATTGAACCCTACGGACTAAGACTGGGGGGCCATTAAAAGGTCATGTGTGTGTGGAAAGGTCGGCCGCCCCAATACTTGGGGCAATATAGTATATTATTTATACTGCACTCAGGGTGGAGGAGGGGAAATTCATTCAGGAGCAAGGTAAGCCAACAGGTTCCCTGGGCTGGTAAACCCCCCAAAAAAAACCCAAAACATCATCTCCAATCAAACCTGTTTTGTCCTCGCTTGTGGATGGGGAGTGGAAGGAGTAGAGCCTCTGTCCGGTTTTTATTGCTAAGGCATGTGATTCAATGTAATCTCGGTTCTTACTTTGTGCTCTAAAGTCTAAGTCAAGTGAAATGACTCTTGGCCAGGGGTGGGCAACTGTGGCCCTCCAGCTGTTGTAGAACTACAAGTCCCATGAGGCATTGCAAAACTGACAGTTACAAGCATGACTCCCAAAGGCAGAGGCATGATGGGACTTGTAGTTCACCAACAACTGGAGGGCCACAGTTGCCCACCCCTGCTCTAGGCGTGGAGAGGCTGGCGGCCCAATACTTTTGGCAATATAGTGTATCTGCTCCAGGGTGGTCTACTTCCAGTTGGGGAGCTGAAGGACACTGACAGCGGAGGTGAGCAGAGTGCAGGGCTTGTGGGGTTTTTTCTGTTAAAACATAAAAATAATTATATAATAAACACATGGAGATGAATAAAATATCCAATAAATGAAGAACTCGTACCGGATCTTAATTGCTTTGATTGGACAGAGTGGAGAAGGGTTAGACCCTCTGATGGAGGTTATTGGAGACATTTCCTCGTACTTCCAGTGTCCCCAGAGCGGGAAAAGGCGCAGATTTGCTCTCTATGGGGACACTGGCAGTATTTAAAAAACAAACAAACATTCAAATCCTTCCTCTCTCTATCCAAAAACTAAACAAAGTTTAGCTGCAGTTGGGATGTAATGGAGGTTTGCTCCTTGAAGACTCTGAAATGAAAGGAGTCCCGCCTATTGCCAGACTTAGACATGGAGACGGTTCCTCCACACCTGGGGATCTCAGGGGTCGCTGCACCATAAATAATTCATCTGCCGCTGCTGTGCGGGAAATTATTCACACTTTAGGTTTGACACAACTCATTATTGCCATCATTCTCTTACAGCCCAAACAGAGAAAAAAAGAAAAACATTTTAAAGCACAAGTGTCCTTCTGAGGGTTCAACATAAAATGTCACCTGGCTGTTCCTACCCGTCTGATTCCATGCGAAGAGTTCTGAAATGATGGCTCCTGTACGGCACGTGTCTGCTGTTGGGTGTAGGTATGGCGCCCTCCCAGGGGTGGACTGACCATTTGGAAACTCTGGCACCGCCCGAGGGCCCAGGGTCAGTAGGGAGCCCCATGAGATGTCTCTGGTACCTTTTTCATAGGCTTTTTTGAGTTTGGGCAAGGACACAGGGGCCCCATGATCCTCTATTGCCCGGGGGCCCCATGAGTTGTCAGTCCGCCCCT